GGCACTAGGTGGGGTGGCATTTCTGGAATGTCTATGCGTTGGATCGCAGGATTCGCTCGAATCATTGCTGTCAGGGCCTCCATCACTAGGACAAAAAGGAGGGGGGCGATCGCGTCCCCTTGCCTGACCGACCGTTATAACGCGAACGGGGGGCACAAGTGACCATCAACCATGATGTTTGTGGTTGCCGACCTGTGCATGATGGATACCCATGCTCTGAATGATTTTTGAAATTCATTTCTTGCAAACAACAATCCATGAAGTCCCAGTCAACGTGGTCATACGCTTTTTCAAAATCTATGAAAAAAACTGTCGCTTCCTTATCATGTTGGTGGGCGTACATGATGATTTCATTAACTAAAAGTACATTATCTTGGATGTTTCTCTATGACATGAAGCCCGTTTGATCTTGGTAGATCAGGTGGCTCATATATGGGAGCAACCATTTGGTAAGGGCTTTGGATACTATCTTGTAGGGGAGAGGGAGGAGTGTAATTGGGCGGTAATTCCTCACCTCCTCTTTCACACCTTTCTTGTACAGCAGTGTAGTGACCCCCTAGCTAATAAGTCCCCCGAAAGATCCCTCACTCCGCACTGCTTAAACGTAGGCCGTAATGCTGTCCTGGAAGGTATTAAAAAAAAAAAAACAGAATTATTTCGGAAAGGAGATCCTCTGGCGTGAGCGGGGCTTCCAGCTACTCTCTCTGAGGTGATGACAGCATGGTAGAAAGGTGTTGCAGCATCGTACAGCGTATTGCAACTAGCTGTTCTGGCTCCCATTGTGCGGACTCAGACGCATACAGTTTTTGGTCAAATTGGGCTGCATAATCAAATATCGTGTAGGCATTGGCAACAATGAGGCGTGAGTGATAAAAGGGGTGATTCAACGATGACACCACAGTTTGTCTTGCCCTGACCCTAACTTTCCTGAAGAAGGATTTGGTCATCGTCTCATCCATGTCCTGTTTTTTTTTATGCGTGCTCGGATTCTCCATGTTTCTGCCTGGGCGTCCAGGTAGGTCTGTAGGTGTTCCCTGTCTGTCCGTAATTTGTTAAAAGTTTCATCATCCAAGGTGTCGGTTTGCAATTTGGTGTCCCAATTTTCTAGTTCATTAAGTAATTTATCTAACACCGCCTTACAGTCCCTCGCGTGGATGACAGAGAACTGTTTAACCCTGTCGCGCAGTTGCGCCATCCCGTCATTGAACCAATCCACTACGGAGTGGGTTGTCTCCCTCTTTGTGGACCAATAGAGCCAAAAATCATTGACCAGACTTTTAACAGCGGAGAGTTTTAGTAGAGACGTATTAAATTTATAAAAGTTCGGCCCTCGTTCAATTGGGTGGTGAAGGACAAGCCCATGACTATCCCTCGATGGTCAAATGACTTACAGGGGCTGAGTGTCATGATGTGTGCTACAGACAGCGTGCCCACCAATTCCTCTGAGATGAGGAAAAGATGAATTATTGAGTTTGATCTGCCCGCTGCTCCGTTTGATCTCACGCATGTGTATGCTCTTTTGTGGGGTGCAGCATCCGGTAGGCATCCTTGAGTTGTAAGGTAGCCATAAAACGGGATAGCATGTCCACGTCTGGTGTCCATCTGTCTCATGGGGCCTGTTGTGAGGACCTTCTATCCAAGAGAGGATTAGGGGTTGATGTTGAAGTCCCAGAGACAATAAGGGGTAGGTTAGCTGACAGTTGCTGGTATAGGTGGTGGAGGAAGTGTGACCTTTCTAGCGGATCGTTAGGACCGTAGACACTCACAATAGCAATTTCATCATCCCCTATCGTGGCTTTTACATATACTCACCTTCCATCTTCTTGGCCGTACTCGTGGGCTACGAGTTTGAGCCGAGAAGAGTGGAGGATCCATATTGCCACACCTGTGGACGCACCAGATCTTGTTGGGGTTGAGAAGATAGTAGATGGCCAGATGAACCAGTGAAGTGGGTCTTTTGGACGCATATTGCATCCGGCCAAGTGCCAGTCCCTCTGTTTTTAACATTTTCCAAATGACATCTTTTTTTTCCGGCGAGGCCTGTGCCAGGCCATTGAGATTGAGGGCTCTGATATCCAAGTCTGCAAGGGCAATTTTTCTCGCCCAATCCGGGGGTCGTCTCACCGGGGGTGGGATGCGTGGATCAGGGGTGGGGAGGTTGTGGAGGTGGAGGTTAGCATATCACACAGTCCATATGTGGGTTCATATTCATCTTGGTGCCCATATTTTTATGTGTCCCCACTTTCTTAATTTTGCACTAGAGGTAGGTGGGTATCTATCTGAGTCCTTTCCCCTTGGATGATGTGTGCAGTCGTGGCGAGCTGTGTACGCTGGTTCTGTGTGACAATATCTTCCAGCTCCTCCTTCGTTCCGTCTTTAGACTGATCCTCCTGTTCCTCATGCTTTTCGTTGTCGGATTTACCATCTATTAGCAAAACTATGACCTGGGCGGCCGTTGAGAGTGGCTTCGATAATTCGTATGCTGCAGTATGGGCGAGCAGGCTCGCCGGTATCATCTGAAGAATGAGGGGCTGGAAGTACCTCAGATCGGAGCGCAGCAGCTGTCCTTGTCTTGTCTGTGGGAGGAGATTACCCCCCAATTTCTCTATACAACTGTCCCCCCTCTCTTGTTTCCCCTTAGATGTCCTTTCCACTGTGCACGACCCCCTTTGCCCTTGTTGCTGCAATTGTTGTCCTGCCCTGTTAGTGGTGACCGTGTGCTCTGTTGCAACTTTGTTGTTGAGATCCATCAATAATGATATAGCCGTGAGTATGAGGGTTTTTGCCACCAGCCCCCAGACAACCTCTTCCATTGTACAAAACTGGTTGACCGTTTGCTTGACATCATGTTTGGCTAGCACTATTCTTCGAATTTTTTCCCATTGCAGTGGAGAGATGATCTCGCTCAGGGATCGTCCCCCGGGGGCCAGCGGGTTCTGTAAAATCCAGTCCATCAATTCCTTTAGATCGGTCCGCACCTTCTTGTCCCTTATCAGTGGTTTGTGTTGGGGGGCTGTTTCCATTTCATGGTCCATGGACGGATGGACCCCAGCCTCCCTGTCTGCCCGGTGGGTGGATTGGGGGCCTATTGCTTGGGCATTCAACGGTACCCCCTGCGATGTTGGCTCCATTTCTTGGTCCATGTTTGGGTGTATGCCTTCCGAAGGGTAAGAAGATTATAAACTGTGATGTGCCTGCACCGGGGACATCTCGTGGTCCATCTCCGGGTGGACTCCTCCTTGATGGTCAGGCGGCCAGCTGTCGGCGGACGGAATGTTACCACCGTGGTCTTGTGATGTGGGGTGGCCTTGTGGTTGGGTGCCTGAACGGCCGTGGTATGGCGAGAGTCGGTTTTGTTGGTCTGCTAGCATATCGTATGTATGGTAGTTCTGCGTTTGTGCCTGCCAATACTGTTTTTCCTGTGTTAGTTGTTGGTTGTCATGCGAGTCGATCGGACCGAGGACCACCTTTTGCGCCTGGATGCTGTGTGGGAGCAGAAGGAGGTGCTGGAGCTTGAATCCGTGGTCGTCCGACTCTTCACCTAAGGCTTGTGGTGCCACTGTCATTGGGTTCAGCATTTCCTGAGCTCTGTCCTGCGTGCAGTATTGGAGTTGTGTGTGCTTCATTTGTTGCACTGCTAGATGGTGGAACAACAATTGCTGTTCCGGTGTGAGGGTTTCTATTTTCGGTAAGGTCGTGCAGTACAACTTCGCTAGGAGGGGTTCGTTTGGGGTCTCCGATAGGAGAAAATAGGGTCCGGTCGCAGTCGTTCCTAAGACCGGTCATAGGGCAGGTTATCTTGTCAAGGTCGTTGCAATTTAGTGTAGGGCGCAGTCCATTGTTTCCCTTTTGAGGGATTGAGTTTTTTCCCGTTGGAAACTTGTTTTCTTTCTCTTCTACTGCATCTTCCCAAAAATACAGTATCGAAGCATTCTACTGTTTACTACGCCCAAGTAACAAAATCTAGAAAGGACTGCCCTGCCTCGTTGGCAGGGCTTACTAAGAAAAGAAAAGAAAAGCAGAAAAGAAGAAAAACGCACTTACCTTTGCCCCGAGAGCTGTGGAGATCGAGGGCCTTGAAAAACGCACTTACCTTTGCCCCGAGAGCTGTGGAGATAGAGGGCCTTGCTCCACTACTGACAAAATGTGCAACATGAGCATGAATCTGCTGGTAGAACACAGGTATTCACTGCTAGTAGTCGAGAGCTTGAAATGCCCTTTTTCCTGGGCTCGTGTGGGGTGGTACAGCCCTCAGTAGCTTGCTATTCATTTTTCAGTTTTTTTTTTTTTTTTCTGTTTTTTCTCTCCTGCAAGAATCCGGGCTCCATCCAGCATCCTAGCTCAATTGGTTAGGCGCGCAAGTGGCATTCAGCAGGGTGTGGGTTCAATCCCCACGGTGGCACTCTTGGTGCCATCCAACTGAGAAATAGTCACCTGGATCCTCCCAGTTGGTGGGTATCAGTAAGGTCTTCAGCCAACACGGGTGTGAGTGTGCGTGTGAGTGGGTTGCGTGTGGTCTGTCCGAGAGTGTTGGCTTTAGTCTTCAGCCAACACGGGTGTGAGTGTGCGTGTGAGTGGGTTGCGTGTGGTCTCTCCGAGAGTGTTGTCTTTAGACACTACCATCCAGAAGGCTGCCCATCCCCCGCTTCATAAGACCTTTGCCAAGCTTACTGTCTAGAACATAATAAAGCATGCTACCCGAATGGCTGCGTCCCCGCGTTTGACGCCGTATACCAGTTATATACTGCTCTTTGTGATTCGAACCCTGGTCTGTATTTCAATAGCTCATGCCTGCACCAAATGAGCCACGGTGGTCGGTAAGTCTCTATTTTCGAAATTTTCGAACCCAGGTTCCGAGCCCTCCGTGTGGGCCTGCTTAGGGCTAATTTGCGAGGGGCGGGGGGCGGGGTTGGGGGTGGGTGTGGAGTGCTATTCCCTTGGAGGCCAGACCATCATCGGACCGGATCGCCGGGAAAGCGGTGCTATTCCCTTGGAGGCGAGACCATCATCGGATCGGACCCCGCTGGTGACATCGCCGGGAAGGTGGTTCGTGAACCGATGTAGGGGCCATGGAGATTGCTGACGTGGCTGCTTCCCAGCACGTGCGTCAGATGATGACGGTATGGCGACTTGCCATCCTGGGGACCGTTGGATCGCATCACCATAAACAAGATTGGCGACCGGTCGATGGGATGGAGATGAGTTGTCCGGAAGATGTGTGAGACGGACCGGTCCTGGGGTGTGAGACGGACGGAGAGGCGGAACGAATCCGGTACGTGATTGGCGACCGGTCGATGAATATGGCCCTTGTGTCGGTCGTGAATGGCCATCGGTAGCGGAAATGCTACGGGGTGAGTCGGGATGAGGGGGTGTCTCGAGTGAAACGACGAGGCGTCGATATCGAAGGGAAGGGGTAAGGGAACACAGGGCGGATTAGCTGTTCTTGTCGCTCTCCTCCCGGCCTTCATCTCCCCTGCTCTCTCTCTCTCTCTCTCTCTCTCTCTCTCTCTCTCTCTCTCTCTCTCCCCTCTGTCTCTAGCGCGCCGCCCCTCTCCACCTCCACGCGTCCCTCTCGCTGTCCCTACCGTCCTCTCTCCCTCTGTCTTCTCTCCTCTGTCTCTAGCTCGCTTGTTGACTTTGTTATTCTCTCTCTCTCTCTCTCTCTCTCTCTCTCTCTCTCTCTCTCTCTCTCTCTCTCTCTCTCTCTCTCTCTCTCTCTCTCTCTGTCTTGCTCTAGTTCGATCACATTGTTTCCGGTCATTTGCCTGTACCGACTCTTTCCGCCGGCCGACTGCCGCTGTTGCTGCGCGGACTTTCGAGAAAAATCAAGTCAGTCAGTCACTCACTGAATTACTCAATCAATTAATCAATCAATCAAAACAATCAATCAATAGCTATCATGGCTATGAACTGGGAGGAGGAGTCGTTCCCGCAATGGGAGGATTACTCTTACCTTCTGCCGTCCATCTTGAGCTTCTTGCTGATTCGGCTGTTTTTGGACCAGCTGGTCCTCGAGCGGATGGGACAGAGCCTCCTTTTTCGGTCCCGAGTCCCCAAGAAGTTGCTGTCTAAACACGCGGCCGAGGAGAGGCGGAAGAAGCTGGTCAAATTCAAGGAATCTGCGTGGAAGTTTCTCTATTACACGAGTGCTGAGGCTCTGGTGCTTTTCATAACCTACAACGAGCCATGGTTCGGCAATACCAAGGCTTTTTGGGAGGGATGGCCTAACCAACGGTACAAACTCAAGCTTAAGGCCGTCTACTTCTACACGGGCGGCTTCTACACCTACAGCATTTTTGCTCTTTGCTTCTGGGAGACCAGGAGGAAGGATTTTTCTGTCACCATGAGCCATCACATCGCCACCGTCTTCTTGATCTTGTTCTCTTACATCAGCGGCTTTGCTCGTGTTGGTTCCATCGTCCTCGCAATTCACGATGTCAATGACGTGTTCCTTGAGATGGCCAAGATTTGCAAGTATTTGAAATTCGAGGCAGGTGCAACGTTCAATTTCTCGGTGTTTGTTATTTCCTGGGTCGTATTGCGCCTCGTCTATTACCCATTCTGGATCATTTATAGCACGAGCTATGAGTGCTTGCAGGTGCTCAATAAGGAGGAGTGCCCCTGGGCGTGCTACCTATACTATATGTTCAACACGCTATTGATTACCTTGCTAGTGCTTCACATCTATTGGTGGGTGCTAATCTTCCGGATGTTAGTCCGCATGGTGGCAGCAAGAGGGTCACTCAGTGAAGATGTTCGCTCTGACTCTGAAGACGATTGATTGATTGATTGATTGATTTTGATTGATTTTGATTGATTTTGATTGATTGATTGAAGTCGAGGGCGTTTTTTTTTTTTTACCAGGAGGAGTTCAGGATAATATTAGTTGGTGTTTTGTTTTTGGAGGTTTTTTAGAGTGTTGGGCAGTCGAGGTAGATAGAGGATTTTTGCGTTTTTTTTTCTTTTTCTTTTTCTTTTTCTTTCTGAAAAGCACGCGCGGACCATCTCATCTCTTGAAATCGCTACTTCTGTAATACTTAACAGGTAGATAGTTCCTGTTAAAAAAAAAAAACGCAGGTTGCGTTTTTTTTTTTTTGGTGGGGGACGAAAATTGGCTATGCGTTTTTTTGTTTATATTGAAGCTTAGCAACATAGCATAGCAGAGGCGGGCCTTTTTTTTTTTTTTTTTTTTTTGTAATTCAAAATTTTAAGTCTATTGTGAGGGAGGAGGGAGGGTAGGAAGGAAGGAAGTAGGTTTAGTGAGTTTTTTATTTTTTTTATTCTTTTTTTTTTTTGGTTGTGTTGGTGAGGGATTTGTTTTTTTGTCGGGTGCGTTATCTCCGAAAAAAGTGTGTAGTAATCATTTCATAATAATGCATTCATCATTTAATCATCATATAATATAATAACAATAGACATGAGTGGGGACCACACTTCATCACAGTACCGTCTTCCCCCGAACATAAAGCACCCTGGTAATGAATGAATGAATGTATACAAGCTATCTTTCCGGTCCGGTACATCCATAAAGGGGTGGGTTGTGCTGGGGGGAAGACGGGGTGGTCATACGTCATCTCATGTCAAGCAGATGATGATGACAGTGGGAACACCTTCATCATAGTCGGGGCACAGTCGGGACACGTAATCACAACAGTCTGTACACCTCATTACAGTCGAGACACATCATAACTCCTTCAGCAGCGGGCGTAGAACCATGGAGTTTTCGACAAATCTTTGGGCCTCACGGGAAAGGCCCTCGTAGCACTCGATAAATAAATTTCCGACGAAAATAATCTGACCGTAATTGCGGTCAGATACAGCAGCCCATAAAGTTCTTGCAGAAGTATTATGGCCTATAACCCAGAATCGATCGTCCTCACCATTCCGGGCCTGGCACAGCAACCCAACATTGTTCCATCGTTGATAGGAAGTTTCCGTGATCATTCACTACTACCGTCTTCCCGGCGAACACAACGCATCCTCATTCTGACTGTGGGGAAGACGGTAGGACTGTTTGTCTTTTCCGGATGAATGAATGAAGACAATCCGCCGCATATCCGGCCAATGTGTCTGCGAGTACACGGCGGAGTGCAGCGCATCCGCCGCCCCCGCCGCGCCGCCGCCTCCCCCCCTCCCGCTTCCCCAGCGCCGCCGTCTCCGCCGCCTTCCCCAACTCCCGCGCCTTCCGCGCCTCCCCCCGCTCCCGTGGCTTAGCAATTTCATCTAGATAGTATCCTTCCGTCCTACACCGTTGAGACGCAGTCGCTTGGACTTCACATGATGTATCTGACCGCAAATACGTCTTCATTCCATCAAATTAGACAAACCGTGGGTATGCCCCTAGTCCACCTACCACCATATCATTCAGCCATTGCTTAATTTCAACACAAAGATAAGCACTCCCAATTCAACACCACTAATCCAATCCAATCCAATCCAATCAAAGAGAGATCGTGGTTTATAGTACCTGAAGCATGACTTCAAGCGACACTTCTCACGGTCGCCTGTGAAACATAGAATGAGGTTGGCGGATCGAACCGTCATCTTACTGGCAACTTCGATTCTGTACTGGTCTTCTTGGGGTAAGTTCATCAAAGTTCAATCTCATCGTTTCCCCTCTCCCCTCTCTTCTCCATCTTAACCTGTCGTGCCCTCTTTTCTGTCGCAGTCCCTCCCCCATACC